ATTGTGAATACAATTATTAGAAAATGCTGACCTATTTCTCTAAAGATGCATGCTTCTACAAGAGGCTAGAACAAGACTCTGGCCCCAAAATTCCCCTAGAAAGATGGCTGCTAGGTCGTGCGGTATGCGCGCTGGACGTTCGATCTTCTTGATAGTCTTTAGTTCGTACCCCGTCCAACCGATGAGATTACAATGTAATATCTAAAGATAACAACAAAAACCTATGGTCATACATTAAGTCTAAGAAAATGGAAACAACAGGCATAGCGCCATTAAAAGATGAACATAACATAATACATAATGATAATGAAACTAAAGCAAACATCCTAAACAAATACTTTGCATCAGCATTCTCAGCCCCAGGAGACAAAGACATATTTCTTAATTTGAACCAAGTAGACAACATAGAAGATTTAGTAGTACAAGAAAATGGAATTCAAAAACTATTATCCAACACCAAACCAAATAAAGCATCTGGACCTGATGGTATTCCAGCTAGATTACTCAAAGAACTAAGCAATTAGCTAGCCCCAGTGTTCAAAATACTCTTTCAGGCATCGCTTAACCAGGGCAGAGTACCAAAGGACTGGAAAGAAGCTAATGTCACCCCCCCCCCCCCTATTTAAAAAAGGAGAAAAATCTGATCCAGGAAACTACAAACCAGTATCACTTACCAGCATCACATGTAAAATCCTAGAACACATAATATGTAGCAACATCATAAACCACTTAGACAAACAAAATGTCCTCACACCATACCAACATGGCTTTAGGAAATATAGATCATGTGAAACACAACTAATAGGACTAATTGATGATTTTTCTTAAGGTTTAGATAATAGTGAACAAATAGATGCTATCTTACTAGATTTTTCTAAGGCTTTTGACAAAGTTCACCACCATAGTTTGCTTAAAAAATTAAAATATTTCGGCATTAATGGTCCACTGCATCAGTGGATTAAAGATTTTCTGAAAGGGAGAGAACAAACTGTAATAATTAATGGCTCTAAATCAACACCAATAACTGTAAACTCAGGTGTACCTCAAGGAACAGTCTTGGGTCCACTATTTTTAATTTACATAAATGATTTACCAAATTGCATTAGTTCAGGAACAAAAGTCAGATTATTTGCAGATGATTGCATAATATATAGAACAATAAAAACAACACAAGACACAGATATTTTACAAAGAGAATTAGATGAATTACAAAAATGGGAATCAAATTGGAGCATGTCTTTCCACCCAAAAAAATGTCAGTTGTTAAGAGTAACAAAAAAAATTAAAACAAATTAATTCCACTTATCTTATTCATGGTAAACCAGTAACACAGACTAAAAACGCAAAATACCTAGGTGTTATAATAAATGAAAAACTGTCATGGAATCCACATATTGATGAAACTATTTTTAAAAATCCAACAAAGCATTAGGGTTTATTAAAAGAAATTTTTATAAATCAAATAAGAACATAAAACTAAAATGTTATTTAACCTTGGTTAGGCCAATAATAGAATATACATCCACCGTTTTGGGACCCCTCAACTCAAGAAAACATTAAGAAACTGGAACAAAATAGAGCAGTGAGATTCATAACAAACGAATATTCACATTTGACTAGAGTAACACCATTAGTAAAATCACTAAATTTAGAAAGCCTTCAGGACAGAAGACTCAAAAGTAAAGTAGCAATTATACATAAAACACTGCACCATAATCTTCAAATACAAAAACAAAACTTAATAAAATACTCTGAAAGACACAAAAATAAAGGCACATTCCTCGTCCCATATGCTAGGACAAATTTGTACAAATACTCCTTCTTCCCTAGTGCTATTAGAGCATGGAATGGGTTGCCTGAGCTAGCCAGAAAAAAAAGTGACTTGGCAGAATTTAAGTCATAGGTTAATATGCATGACGCGTAGGACGTAATCATCTTCTTTTTTGAAGTAACGTCTGCATTATATAAGATAAGATAAGATGTGTGAATACTTAAATGAAACTCAGTATCGATGGGTATTGACTGTGTGTGTGTGCATGAGAGTTCGTGTGTGTATGTGTATATTTGTGTGTCAGTACTTGTGGCTGTGGTGTTAAAAGTTGGGGAACAAGTGTACAATTAGTATCAACACTAAAGAACTACAAATTTCTTGTTTGCAGATGAAGAAAAGAGAAAAAAAAGTTGACTCTTCCAATTTATAATCGTCACCATGAATCCATTATAACATTGAATCAAAGAAATAAACATAGGGAGATGATTGTTCCACGAATTGAAACGAATAATAAAGTTTTTGAAGATATGTTGTTCTAAACAAGGCGCCTCTCTAGATCTAAATCTGTTGTTCTAAATTAGGTGCCTCTCTAGATCTAAATCTGTTGTTCTAAACAAGGTACCTCTCTAGTTCTAAATCTGTTGTTCTAAACAAGGTGCCTCTCTAGATCTAAATCTGTTGTTCTAAACAAGGTGACTCTCTAGATCTAAATCTGTTGTTCTAAACAAAGCGCCTCTCTAGATCTAAATCTGTTGTTCTAAACAAAGCGCCTCTCTAGATCTAAATCTGTTGTTCTAAACAAGGTGACTCTCTAGATCTAAATCTGTTGTTCTAAACAAGGTGACTCTCTAGATCTAAATCTGTTGTTCTAAACAAGGCGCCTCTCTAGATCTAAATCTGTTGTTCTAAATTAGGTGATTCTCTAGATCTAAATCTGTTGTTCTAAACAAGGTACCTCTCTAGTTCTAAATCTGTTGTTCTAAACAAGGTGACTCTCTAGATCTAAATCTGTTGTTCTAAACAAGGTACCTCTCTAGTTCTAAATCTGTTGTTCTAAACAAGGTGCCTCTCTAGATCTAAATCTGTTGTTCTAATCAAGGCGCCTCTCTAGATCTAAATCTGTTGTTCTAAACAAGGTGACTCTCTAGATCTAAATCTGTTATTCTAAACAAGGTGACTCAATAGATCTAAATCTGTTGTTCTAAACAAGGTACCTCTCTAGATCTAAATCTGTTGTTCTAAACAAGGTGCCTGTCTAGATCTAAATCTGTTGTTCTAATCAAGGCGCCTCTCTAGATCTAAATCTGTTGTTCTAAACAATGTGACTCTCTAGATCTAAATCTGTTGTTCTAAACAAGGCGCCTCTCTAGATCTAAATCTGTTGTTCTAAACAAGGTGACTCTCTAGATCTAAATCTGTTGTTCTAAATTATGTGCCTCTCTAGATCTAAATCTGTTGTTCTAAACAAGGTACCTCTCTAGTTCTAAATCTGTTGTTCTAAACAAGGTGACTCTCTAGATCTAAATCTGTTGTTCTAAACAAGGCGCCTCTCTAGATCTAAATCTGTTGTTCTAAATTAGGTGATTCTCTAGATCTAAATCTGTTGTTCTAAACAAGGTACCTCTCTAGTTCTAAATCTGTTGTTCTAAACAAGGTGACTCTCTAGATCTAAATCTGTTGTTCTAAACAAGGTGCCTCTCTAGATCTAAATCTGTTGTTCTAAACAAAGCGCCTCTCTAGATCTAAATCTGTTGTTCTAAACAAGGTGACTCTCTATATCTAAATCTGTTATTCTAAACAAGGTACCTCTCTAGTTCTAAATCTGTTGTTCTAAACAAGGTGCCTCTCTAGATCTAAATCTGTTGTTCTAAACAAGGTGACTCTCTAGATCTAAATCTGTTGTTCTAAACAAGGTACCTCTCTAGTTCTAAATCTGTTGTTCTAAACAAGGTGATTCTCTAGATCTAAATCTGTTGTTCTAAACAAGGTGCCTCTCTAGATCTAAATCTGTTGTTCTAATCAAGGCGCCTCTCTAGATCTAAATCTGTTGTTCTAAACAAGGTGACTCTCTAGATCTAAATCTGTTATTCTAAACAAGGTGACTCAATAGATCTAAATCTGTTGTTCTAAACAAGGTACCTCTCTAGATCTAAATCTGTTGTTCTAAACAAGGTGCCTGTCTAGATCTAAATCTGTTGTTCTAATCAAGGCGCCTCTCTAGATCTAAATCTGTTGTTCTAAACAATGTGACTCTCTAGATCTAAATCTGTTGTTCTAAACAAGGCGCCTCTCTAGATCTAAATCTGTTGTTCTAAACAAGGCGCCTCTCTAGATCTAAATCTGTTGTTCTAAATTATGTGCCTCTCTAGATCTAAATCTGTTGTTCTAAACAAGGTACCTCTCTAGTTCTAAATCTGTTGTTCTAAACAAGGTGACTCTCTAGATCTAAATCTGTTGTTCTAAACAAGGCGCCTCTCTAGATCTAAATCTGTTGTTCTAAATTATGTGCCTCTCTAGATCTAAATCTGTTGTTCTAAACAAGGTACCTCTCTAGTTCTAAATCTGTTGTTCTAAACAAGGTGACTCTCTAGATCTAAATCTGTTGTTCCAAACAAGGCGCCTCTCTAGATCTAAATCTGTTGTTCTAAATTAGGTGATTCTCTAGGTCTAAATCTGTTGTTCTAAACAAGGCGCCTCTCTAGGTCTAAATCTATGACTGACAATCCTAAACCAGCAAGATAGCAATGCCATCATCCAGGCTAGGGAGCTTAGCTACGGAGACGCCCATTCACAAGAGTTGTATTTAATTCGTCCATTGTGTTTCAATGATGACCACTTTTGTCATCCAGTCGGACTGAGAGCTTTGCACTGGGGTTTGTGCCTCCTCATGTGGCTGGTGAGACCTATGTGAGCCCGGAATGTTCGGCTGCACACTGGACTTGCCCAATGGACCTCATTCACCAATCGTAAACAAATATTTAATCACGTGACAATATTGATAAAACAATGAAAATTATGTATCACGTGACAGCCTTTATGGATTGCGTAATTTGTTTAGAAGAGATAGATAACCACGTGGCAAATGTTGTTTGTTTACGATTGGTGAATGAAGTCCATTGGCAAGTCCCCCCCCCTCCTTTCCAGAAAGGAAGGGAAACACTGCCTTCAGCCTCAGCATCACCTTAACAAAGATAAAGACTATATAGAAAATACAAGTCAAAGCCAATCAATTCAAGTGTACAGATCCAGTTTATTCATTCTTTCATGGACACTGTCCCAAACATCAGCCTCAAATCACTAGGTGAATGTATCTTATTTTATATAATACAGACGTTACTTCAGTATACAGAAGAATGCTAACTCATTTCTTGACAACTCTTAAGGACAGGAGGCACACAAGAAGAAAAGAATTATATAATAACATCTTTCATTGACCCTAGGATTGCCATAACATATATAATAATAATTATGACTTAATCATTGTATTAAAACAAATTTGTTGAATAATATGAAAATTAAACAATGACAAACTTGTATGTATAAGCAAAAAAAATTGTTTCAAAAATAGGAAACTAAATTTATATTTCACCTTCAATGATGAACCAAGATGAGCCATTTTGTCAACTGTTTGCGAATGATGGATCCTGTTACAGCTGATTGAAATGTAGCTTTCCAATGCAATGTGTTACAAGTATCCAATAATCTAGTAGCAAAGGACTTTTTTTAAATAGTTGTCTCCTTTACATTACAGCTCTTTTTTCATAAATACTTGGCATAGCCAAACAAAAATATGTTACTACCAAATAAAGACAACCTAATTATTGCCAGACTTCATGAAAATTAGCCTGGTACTTTCTAAGAATAACCTCAATGTTATTATATGAAAAAAACAATTTAAAAAATCCAATGTATAGCACCTCCCAGCACACACACAAAAATATCAATAATTTGTGAGTTTTAAAACTGAAAAGAATGAATGGTAACAAAAAAAAAAAGAAAAAAAATGAAACAAAAAATGTTTGATTAGACAGTGCAAAATGTCAACAACTTGTGTAGTTACACTAGTACTGACTGTCAACTGAAACAAGTGCTAACTCTTGCAGTTGTTGACAAACCTGGATATATTGGACAGTAGCAGACAACCTTCATACACCACTAAACACTATTTAGTACATTTCAAACTAAACTTCCAGCCTAGTCACTTTTGCCCTTCATCATTTCACTTCAGAGACTTCAAGCCAGAGCTAACAGCCAAGACAACAGAATAGACTTTTATCAAACAGAATGCAGCCATTTTTTGTTCCAACTTTCACTTTGACATGCTTCATATTTACATTTTGTCAGTTGCTATCATGCTTTCTGTTATCATTGACAAGACATTCAGCCATACTGGCTGTCATAGGATAATAAAGTTAACACATTTCAGGACTGACATCAACTTAGTCAACAACTGTTGGGTCAATAGACAAAATATTATTTTGTACAAACAAACACCTAAGTTGCCCCCCCCCCCCATACCATGGCAAGTACTCTTGCAATGTTAAGTGTACTAACAGTAATGCCTTGTGTAACTATCATTTCACTAACCATCCTTTCAAATGTAACACTTGTTAGATCAGCATCAAGATGCAAGGTAGGAGTATTAGAGCACATGTAGGCTTTATGAAAAATGTCAGATTCAGTGAATGGTGAAACTACACTGATTTGGAACAATACATATTATATGTATACAACATAATGTCTAACACAAAATCCATAGTAGAATGTTGAACAAATGCACTGAAACGTTTAACAAATGCACTGAAACATGGTGAACAAAACTCATTTCTTGTCTTGGACCATCCTGATGAGTCCAGAATCTACTGTGGCAGTTAATAGATGAAACTATAAATTAAAGTTTTGGTCCCACAGAAGGCTGACACTGTGGCCAACAGATAGCAATGGTGTCATGTGGGAGCTGCAAGGACCTACCCCTTTTATTGTCTATTTACAAAATGATTTCACAGACCCATGACACCTGAATGCTCTTAAAGGTTAGGTAAAAATGTAAGTTTCCACCAAGACATGAACTCAAGACTTAGCAGCCAAGCAGTATAAGCAGAGCTTTTACTACTGCAATGCTCAATCCTTCATTCTATGCATTAGGCACTCACATACAAGCATATCATTTGTACATTACTAAACTTAAGATTTCCATTCTGGTGTCTTGTTTCATTTAGTTGTGACCAAAAATCCTCATGAAATCTGCTGTAGTTCAATTAAAAAATGTTCACATATTCAAACATAGCTTTTTAATGAAACCCAAACAGATGAACTTTTTGATTACTTTGACAGCATTATTTGTAGACAGAACACTCAGTAAAAACAGGTCACAGCTTCCAGGGGAGACAACATGTATGGTGTGTGACTAGTGGATTTACAGGCCCTCACAATGGCTACATAGATGACAAAATGCTTGGCAATTGTTTAGCACAAAACAAAATATTTACACATGTAGTGTTATCAGTTACAACACAAACAATCACATTTATTATTTTCATTAGGTCTAAAGCTTCAGTTGGAAGGCAAATGCATATTTTAACTTGCATCAACTGAAAAGTCAAGGATTCTTTTCTCCATTTCAAATAAATCCTTCCAGTGTTTCATTTAACTTTATAATGAAAGAGGGAAACAAAGTGATTCTTCTGTAATAATTATAAGATGATCCAATGAATGAAAACCGCAGCCTATGTAAGAAATCTCCAATTGTCACACTTGTAAGCCACTTGTAAGCCACCTATTTCCAGGTTCTGTTCTCAATGTCAGTCCAAGCAAGTCAGTGCCTAAGCTGGTCTCGAATGTGTATCCCGCAGCCTATGTAAGAAATCTCCAACTGTCACACTTGTAAGCCACCTGTTGCCAGGTTCTGTCCTAAATGTCAGTCCAAGCAATTTAGAGCCTGAGCTGGTCTTTAAAGTGTTTCCGAGGGGCACTTCTGTTACACCGACAACCTTTCAACTCACAAAAAAAAGGTTGCCTTTGGCATAAAGTCAATCCCTATATTGGATAGGTATGATAGGTGCCCTGGACAGTGCAGCTGTCAAACTATAAGCAATCCCTCTATACTGTCCATACCGGCATTTAAAAGAACATCAATATTTGTAGTTAGTTCTTGCCATCATATGTACGACTAATGTTACCATAACAAAAAAAAAATGAATGAAAACTCAGTATACAAAATATCCAGTAAGAACAATATTGGGCCTAGTAATTTCTAGGTCCAATTAACAAGAGGCCCCAAAGTCAAGTCAATTATGCCTGATCCTTTCAGCTATTTCCTCTTGCTAGTGCTGGAAGACGAACGACGTGATGATTGTTTACTTCTAGAACTAGAGGACAATTTAGTCTTTGAATCTTCTTCATCAGAATCATCTCTTCTTGAGCTCTGGGGACAATGAGGTAAAAAAAAGATCAGTATTTAGAACAGCAGATGGAAAATTTGGTTTAAAAAGGTCATGGAAACAAAATTTAAAATAACTGAAAATAATTGTTGTGAAAGACACATAAAACTATTTTTTAGTTAAGATTCTTATTTTTTTTTATTTATTTAATTAATACATTTTTTTTGAAGATGTGTGAATTAAGTTTTTAAAATTGGATGTTTATTTTAAATTCTATCTTTCCAATATCATTTATTAAATGTTGTGAGATAGTAGAGACGAGAGGTTATCTTTTCAAGATAAATATAATTAGTATAATTTTAGCTTTAAAATATATTTAATGATCCATCCAATAGATACTATAGTGATAGAATGTAGTGATTACGGTAGACTGCTAATATGGTAAAATGTGATAGAAAGTTACTAGCAGTTTGTATCAGAACTCTTCATGTCATGTTCAGAACAAGAAAATAATATTGTTTTGGTAAAAAAAAACAAATGTGTATATCTTTTTTTTTTTTATAAGAAAAATGCTGATATGACAACCCAGGAAAATTAGTGGATAGGGAGTTATTTCTTCTTTATTAAGTTAATAGATCTTTACTTTACATATTCTTTAAAAGCAAGTTTTATTTTTATTCTGTTAATTTTAAGATATTTTTTTTAGTTATCTCTCTTTGCCTAAGAGTTGGCTTGGACATGACTTTTTATAACCAGATATAGTACCTAATGAGCTTAAAACTACAAGTCTAAGCATGCACCTTTGAACTTCTCCTAGAGTACTGCTCCCCTGCTTCATCTCTGTCCTCTTTATTACTGTTCTTTGACTCCTTGGATTTCTCTACCTTGGGTTTTTCAAGCTCCAACTCATCACTAACACCAGAAGCTTGAAATGAGTTTTCTTCTTGTCTGACAGAACTTGGCAGAGAAATTTTGATAGGAGCACTTTTTTCTGAACTGTAACAATTATATGACAAATATTTACAATTATGGCTTAACAATACCATAATATCTCTAAGTTAGAATCTCATAACCCCTAGTAGTAGTTGTTTATCATTCTTGCAAACAGGCCTAGAACTATTAAACTGAGTCTTCAGATTAGACTTTGTGTGATAAATATCTCTCAATAAATCTTCAAAGATTCTTTTTTTTTTTTATTGGAGCGTTGATCAGTGGAAACACTTTTTAAGAAACATAATTAACAGATCTTAGAAATCTGAGTAACAATTTCATATTTTGGTTTTAAGTTGGCAGTAGACCATTTGACTTATTCATATGTTTAGAAATATAATTATAGGCAAATCTTGTCTTCAAGGACGAAGATTAATGAGGAGTGCAGTATATCACATGTCTATGCAGTTCCAGCTGTGGCCTACATATTGTGTCACATCAAGCACAGACATAACCATTGTTCACCAGTGGTCCACTTAGGTTCTCTTTTCTGTCTCTCCCCAGAAGTGGATTATCTTTTGGTCTCGAATGTGTATCCCGCAGCCTATGTAAGAAATCTCCAATTGTCACACTTGTAAGCCACCTATTTCCAGGTTCTGTTCTCAATGTCAGTCCAAGCAAGTCAGTGCCTAAGCTGGTCTCGAATGTGTATCCCGCAGCCTATGTAAGAAATCTCCAACTGTCACACTTGTAAGCCACTTGTAAGCCACCTGTTGCCAGGTTCTGTCCTAAATGTCAGTCCAAGCAATTTAGAGCCTGAGCTGGTCTTTAAAGTGTTTCCGAGGGGCACTTCTGTTACACCGACAACCTTTCAACTCACAAAAAAAAGGTTGCCTTTGGCATAAAGTCAATCCCTATATTGGATAGGTATGATAGGTGCCCTGGACAGTGCAGCTGTCAAACTATAAGCAATCCCTCTATACTGTCCATACCGGCATTTAAAGGAACATCAATATTTGTAGTTAGTTCTTGCCATCATATGTACGACTAATGTTACCATAACAAAAAAAAAAGAATTTATTGTCTCAGTCAAAGTTAAAATGGCTACCTGTACATTTTTCTAACTAATCTATTGCTGAATATGTTAGAGGACAGGGAAACTAGTTTCATCTAGTCAGCAGCAAAAAAGGAACCAAGTAGAAAATTGACATTTTTATGAAACATTTAAAAGGGTCTCAAATTGCTCCATTGTTTATTTTTTTAAGTTGCACAATGAGAAGACTTTAAACTCTTCAAATGGTTCACAATTTCAGTGACAGCTACATTCAAAATGCAACATAAGCATTGACATTGTCTCCTTTTTTGTTTTTCATTGCAAGAATGATAAACTTTCATTATTGTAAATTAACTTCTGAATCCTATTGCTAAATCAAGCAGCTTAAGTTAATGCAGCTTACTGCTTAAAACAATATCCTCCTAGGACTTCAACAAGATTTGTAGTGGCATGTTGTTTCTTTTTTCTAAGACCATGATAGAAGATTTAATACTGATTTTCTTACACCAAACATTTAAAAACTAATTATTTTTAGATCTGATGGCTGCTGTGTAACAATAATCTAGTGTTAAAATAAGTGACAACATTAATAACTTTAGAATTACCTCTGTGGGGAACCCTCTATTGTTTTCACAGCAGTCAGATTAGATTTGACCACTTGCAAGGACGTGTCCGAAGTGGTCTCAATTTTGTGGACATCACATTCAGATTCATTACAATTGTTTACCTGAAAGAGGTTGAAGGTCAATATTTAATTTACACATCATCAGATCTCACTTCATTGATCCTCAAATTATCTTTATCTTTTTTTTTTTAATTCAGATTTGTAAAGAGTCTTCTCTTTCCAAAGAAACAGAATATTTGTTTTTGATGTTTGCACTGGGTGTTAATATGTTACCAATGGAATATTTGCAATTGGACAGAACTTGTTCAGCACTTTGAGGTTTCTTAGTGATTTGGGGGCAACATAAAATCAAATCCTAACTGAAGTCTGGCCAAAGGTTACAGTGATGGTTCAACCCATGGAAGTAAAAATGATGAAAACATTTTCTTTAACTTCCTAATTAAACAACAGATATGATTTCTAGACGATGAGCTAGCAACTTAGCAATGCTAAGCCAGAAAAGAAGACATCTATTCAAATACATTA